CTGGCGTGCTGGGGCATGCGAGACAACCCGTCTGCTAGGAAGTTGCGCTTCCCGGGGATGGCTGACCGAACCTGACAGCTGATACATACTTTCAAGAATCATAGCAGTGGGTTCTTGGATTTTTCATTCTAGCAATAGTTCATGGATGATAATTGGCAATGAACAAGCTTTCTCCAAAGAACTGCCAATAGAACCATGAAGAACCATGGCAGATCCTACCAGAGATATTGCTGCACACAGGTGGCAGAATCTTCAGAATATGCATGGGAAGTCAAGAATGACCACATTCCTCTGCTGACATTAGTGACCGCTATGACCATCAGGGCTTCACTAAAATTAAAACTTCCTTTTTCAAATACTGGTCTGGTTCATATATAAAGTTAAGCTATAACATAGTTTGCCTGTTGATGGCTTAATTTGATATGTGACACCATCCACTGTAATTTAGCATTATGTGTAAACTAGTCCCTATGGCTTACTCAACAAAGCATGATTAAAATATCTTGGCTTAGCATGATGTGTGAACACAGTCATTTTATATTGCCTTGTTAGCATTATGTATGTGGAATCATTTCCACAACAGACTTGAGTAAATTTTGGAACCAGTCATATATAAATTTTACTTCTGAAGTCAGTCATGTGAGTATTGCTTCTCTTAATCACTGGCTCATGATATTAATAATGCTGAGTGACAAAGTAATCTATGTGTGATCTCAGCTAGTTTTAATGGTACTAGGCCTGGCAAAAGGCAGATGGACCATAAGTCTTCACTTAAAAACTGCAATCCTGTGTACATTTACTTAAATCTTACAAATAAACATGCATAATATTGAGGTGCATGTTGGATTTGAGAATTATTGCCAAACTGCTTGCATTTTCTAGTAATTTAGCTTGTATTATGCAGCAAATATGCCATGTGTTTATCTAGAGATCAAGTTTAATATAATTAGAATTCAGATCCTTGCCTGCACATCATGAAAAAAGAGAACATTTATTAGCCTGCAATGTTTAATGTGATAAAAGATGAGTCCTTGAGAAAGTCAAAGCACTGAAGAAGAAAACAGGTTGGGTGTCTAAGTGGGAAAAACTTTGAGAGTTTTATCACTGAGCCATGAAATGAAAAGTAACAGCTGATGAATGGGAGAAACCAAAAGGCATTGACAGAAAATAGGGATGCAAGATTTAACAGGTCTGGAACATGAATGGCTACCACGTCTCCAGAGTAATTACCAGGGAATCATGGCAAACTAATTTCTATAAATCAGTACGATCATTTGTATTGTGAGCTGAATATATAATTATTCTCCTTAGAAGCATTTGGGTCTGCAGCCAATTCTAGTCCCTGTACAGTCTTACTACTTTGCATTTGTGTATCTCCAAGTTGGTTGCTGTAAGCCTGAGAAACAGGGGTGATTCTAAGACTTGCTTCAGTGTTATCATAAAAGGAATTACTTGGTGTTTTATTATATTAGAAAGGACAAGTTAATAAATGCAGATTATACAGGTGAAGGAACAGTCATAAAACAAAATCCCTTGAATAGGATGTTCAGATATCACCCTGCATGTGCAGGTACAAATGTAGCTGATAAAAAATCATTGTAAAAATGACAAAGGTTTGCTGGAGGCTTCTTTATGGTAGCGTTCAGAATTAAATAAACTGATCATAAATATGTTTAATTCTGAAAGCCTTCCTTTAAACAATCTTTATATATTGTATATATGAGGTTTTAACCAAGATGACATTTTTATTATGTCTGGCCTTGCTAAAGTCAGTGTTTCCAGGAGTTAAATGGGGAACTTGTTGTAAGGCTTTGTGAATGAATTGTTATCTCTGCTACATGAACAAGATCAGTTATACAAAATTTTAAGCCTACTTTTTTTTTTTAATTTACCTCAACCATTTATTGTTAACAACTTGTTTTTTTCCCATAAAAATTGCTTGGAAATTTGATGTATAAAAATGCATGAATGGGTAAAAAAAAAAAAAAACAACAATCCTGAAGAATCAACTTTAAAGCTTTTTTAGGTGCATACCCTGGACTTCTCAATCACTGGCCTTTAGAAATACAGAGCATGATGATAATGAGTTGATCTGCAAAAATTCAAAAAATTAAATTCGGTTCTCAACACTATTCACAAACAGCACAATCCAATGCATTATGTACTCAGAGGTATCATGGATTCATACATAATACCTTTAAATCATAATTTGATTAATGAACTATAATGGGCTGATTCAAATATAGTGCTTATTCATAATGACTCATTGAACCAAGCTGAAAACAAACCACATTAGTGCAATGTGTAAATGGGGCTTACTTGCAATACAGGTCTTCTAAAATTCCACACTAGCCTTCAAACCTAGTTTAATTCTAGAGATGTCTACATCACCTAATCTTATAAACCAATGGAAGAAAAGTCAGATTCATAACTTGATGGTAACTAGTATCATCAGGCTGTATTTGCATCACATATTTAACATGTTTACTAAATTAAGCCATTTGCTGGGTTTGCAAGTACAGTGAGTCATAAACTAATCCAATGGGCCAGGGGTGTACAACACATTAAGCTACATAAAAATT